CCAGTCATAGGCAAGAAAACAGAAATTCTACACAGACAGCATTTCCACAAGGGAAACTATTAGCTTTCATTTTTGCCCACTTAATCAAACACACACACACACACACACACACACTCTCTCTCTCTCTCTCTCTCTCTCTCTATATATATATATATATATGCATATTAGCATTAGGTTATTCTAAAATCTTGCAAAAGGTCTCTTTGTTTATGTAGAGCTTCAAGGACCACAATGCCGACTGAATTTTAACTTCTCCTCTGAGGTTTATGATTCTTTTAAATTGAAGGGACAAATATCCAGTTTCTTTTGGTCAGCAGAAACTGCACTAAGAGCCTTACTGATATGGACTGAACCGTGTCCCCCCAAATTCATACGTTCAATCTCTAATCCCCCAGTGTGACTGTATTTGGAGACAGAGTCTTTAAAGAGTTATTTAAGGTTAAACAAGGTCTGGTGACCTTATAAGAAGAGGAAGAGACACCAGGGAGGAGCATACACAGGAAAGGCCATGTGAGGACACAATGAGGAGGACGCCATCTACAAGCCAAGGAGAGAGACCGCAGGAGAAACCAACCCTGCAAGCACCTGGATCTTGGACTTCCAGCCTCCAAGATTGGGAGAAAATAAATTTCTGTGGTTTCGGCCACCTAATCTGTGGTATTTCATTACAGCAGCCCTAAGAAACTAATACCCTTACTATTCCTTTATTCTCAATTCACCTCTGTCCAAAAATCTTTTCTGTGTAAGGAGTTAAAATAGAAAAGCTAGAGCTCTTTCCCTTTCTTTGCTGAACAATGCAGCCCTACAGCCATGCCATTAGGTGAAGCAGAACAACATAGGCTCTGTGCAGGAGTGGGGCGGTGGGGCGGGGAGTACAGGGTATCAGTGCTCGAGTGGATGAGAGGACATCTATGTGGCTGTGCAGAGGGGGATGGAAGATGGGGAGTCATAAGAGAAAGGATCAAGTAAGTAAATATGTTAAGGATACTGGGAGTCCACCTCCACTATCTAAAAAGGAACTTTGAAATATATGTGTACTAGGGGCGCCTGGGTGGCTCAGTCGTTAAGCGTCTGCCTTCGGCTCAGGTCATGATCCCAGGGTCCTGGGATCGAGCCCCGCATCGGGCGCCCTGCTCGGCAAGAGGCCTGCTTCTCCCTCTCCCATTCCCCCTGCTTGTGTTCCCTCTCTCGCTGTGTCTCTCTGTCAAATAAATAAATAAAATCTTAAAAATATATATGTATATGTACTAGGCAGCAATGTAAATTATAAATACAATGTAATTTCTTACTGTGACTTGAATCCCTTTGGGTTTCAAGACCCTTTGTGATGTGCCTCTACCTACTTCTCTCCAACCTCATCTCATGCCCTCACTAAACTCCAGTCACACTGCCTTCTTTGTGGTCTGTTCTTTTCAATCTCAAGACTTGAGCTCATGCTGTTCCCTCTGTCTGGAACACTGTGACCAACTCCTACTCACCCCCTAGGTTTCAGCCTGAGAGCCACTTTCTCCGAGAGGCCTTCTGCTAGAGACTGAATGCTCATGTCCCTTCAAAATTCATGTTGAGATCCTAATGCCCAGTGTGATGGTATTAGGAAGTGGGGACTTTGGGAGGTGATTAGGTCACGAAGGGACTAGTGACCTTATAAAAGAGGCTCCAGAGAACTCCCTCAATGCTTCTACCATGTGAAGACACAGTGGGAAGATGGCCATTTAGGAACCAGGGAGTGGGCCCTCATCAAACACCGTATCTGCTGGTGCCTTGATCTTGGACTTCCTAGCCTCCAAAACTGTGAGAAATAAATGTTTCCTATTTAAACCACCCAGTCGATGGTAATTTGTTGTAGCGGCCAGAACAGACTAAGACATATTTCCTAACTTCCCAACCTAAATTACATCCTCCCTATTATTCTCTCAGAGCATCCCATTCCCTTCCTTGACACCCATCCCATTGGTAACTATGTATTTGCGTTTGTTTGTCTAATGGCTACCTCCCCCATGAGACTAAGAGTCCAGTAGGGACAGGACCTGGGTTAGCCTTGATCACTCTGCTTCCCAAGAGGAAAATGACATGGGAGTATGTGAGAGTGAGAGAGAGAGAGAGAGAGAGGGAGTGAGTGAGTTTAGTTTATGCATCTCAGATTTCTTACTAAAGCTAATGTAATAAATGGAAAAGGGTAAATTCCTAAGTGTGTGGAATAACCACAGGGGAGGGAAAATTAGCTTTCATGGGAAAGCAGGCTACTGACAAAACTGTTAAAATCACGGTCAAACAGGCCCTTTGGGAGGGACTACCTTACTCCAGGAAAGGATGCAGGTTTCACGGTCTTAGAGAGAGAGGAAATCATTTCTGGAATGGGGAATAATTGTAGAAGGTACTGACATTCAGCTTCAGCCGTGAGTTTCAGCTAAATCTGGTATTGGCTGTGGCACTGGAAGGTTCAAGAGGCAAATGCCTCCCTCCGCATCATTCCTGGCATCCCTGGACCTATGCGCGGTCAGTGGTCCTGGGCGTGTGTGTGATACTATCACACTGATCAGCATCATAACCTCAAAAACAAACACGCCATGTTATTTAGATTTATTACTAGTATCTGAATATTCACTTTAGCTAAAAATGAAGGTTTGTTCCTCCATTACGTCAGACTTTTAAGATTTGACTTTTAAAATGTTAAATATTGAAATTGTGATAATAATTTAAAACTTTGATAAATTTTCAGGTTTATTCTTCTATCCTAGAAGTTAGTTCTATGATGGTGATATTTGGCTTCAGCCTTACATTGATATGTTGATTTATATCAGCCACTCACTCAGCCTTTCTGCCAAAATGTGTAATATCTCTAATATTAATTAGCATGCTGTGACATAATGAGATGCTTATTAGCATCCTTTAAAACACTCACTTTCAATAGGCAACAATGATAAAATGGGAAATGTCAGATTCCTGAAATAAACCCAGAGCCCTGATATATTCTACTTCCAGAAGGATCCAAACCCAAGAGGAACATTTTTGTCTTCCACCTACACCTGACCTAAGACCTATGAATTCAAGGGATTTAATTTTTTTATTGTCCTCTACCACCACTGCCAAAACATCACTTCTTCCTCCCAGACTATGTAAACTCCCACTCTCCCTCACATCTCAGTAAGAATAAAAGAAAGGTCCAAGGGTCTATTCTGATGGTGGGTGAAAAGGAATGTCAAATGATCGAAGGTCCCTTTGGAAACACAGGGAACATGTGTCCACAGAGCCCCAGACAGCAGACAGTGACTCAGAGGCCAGTCAGGTGAGTCACCGGGGATGCAACTTCTAGGCACAAAGGCCCTCCTAAAGCAATCATACCCCTCACTACCACCAGGTCCCGCCAGGTCTGGAGAAGCCTCGCCTGTACTGGGCAGAGGTGGTGCCCACCCAACCCCCTCAGCTGTTTGTTGACTGATTTGTAAAAACATTCTGCTTTATCTTTAGCACAATTGGCAGAGTATGACATATTTTTCCGTATTTTTATTTTTCCATTTAATATATCTTGGGGATTGTTCTAAGATATAAACCATGTTTAAATAAAAACCTGGAAGAAAATAAATATTTTTAAAAACCTATTTTGTAGAAATGTTATTTAAGTAGAGTTGACATACACTATTATGTTAGTTTCAGCCCCCGAGCTGTTGAAACAAATGGCTTCAGCTCCTAATCTCCAGCTGTGGTTCCTGACAAGCAATAATTCATTTATTGAAGACTGAGCTTTAGGTTAATACAGACATTTAGTTCAGCAGTTTGGGGAAAGACTCCTCTAGTTAGTTCATATTTGCCCTCTTTCCTTTCCCAGGGAAGAAACATGAAGATGACCTTCCCACCTGCCTTTTCCTTTTTCCAATTGTTTTCTGCCTTGGCTAATCAGAATTTTCAGAAGAAAATTTCTTTTTCAAGGAAATAGTGGCAAAATATAATGGTGGTAAAAAAGACACAAAGTGAACTCAGGCTAAAACCATGTGTGATGTTTCAGTAAATCAGAGCACCCAGAGCCTGACTGGCCTGGGGTTTTCTGTTCAGTCTCTGAAGCACGGGGCTCAGGGCTCAGGCAGGACCTCAGGCCCCCCCCACCCCGCTTCTCAGCCAGAGCAAATCAGCCAGCAGCCCAACGGCCCTTGGTCCAGAGGGGGTCAAGGCAGAGTGCTGTATCACTAAGATAAAACCATGACCACACACGGTTTTGGACTCCTAATCCATTCTGATGGCTGGAAATATGACACAGGATGGTTCTGGAGAAACAACTTGGGACTGGGAGAAACATGCTAATAGAGGGATGAAATATCCTCTTGAAATCCTAGTGTGATACATTATAAACTACAAAATAAAGATAAAATAAAGGTTCAACTTAAATAATAAGTTTCTGCTTATAGTCCCCTTTATGGAATTTCTGACATCAAATCACTTAGAAACTTCAACTTGCTAAGTGCCAGGGAAAATAAAAGGCACTGTATTTTCTCCCTGGAGACTTCATCCTTGGGAGCGGCTCCACAGTTACCAACAAGGGAGGGCCAGGCTGGGAGAAGCTCAAACTCGTCACCTCTTCCCAGTCAAATTACAATATATACCAAAAGAATCCATCCTTTGCCACCCCCGGATGCTACATCTGTTTCAAAGTGTCATACGACAAAGAAAACCTTGAGAGTTCTGATCTGAACACCAGAGCAGCAGGTCACAACTAGCAACAGAAACATGAACTTCCTCTCCCCATCTTCAGACCTCAGAGTTCAGGCCTTGAGGGGTCTCCCCATGTACCACCTGATGGTTCAGTTTGAGGAGAGCATCTCCTCTAAACATCCTTCTAATAGAGGAAGGAGTTGGGGTCATAAGCTTACTTGGTGGCCACAAGGTCAAGAAACCCTTCTCCAAACAGACTTATCCCTTGAGGTGAATAGGTTCAAGGAGGAAAGAAGAAGGGCTCGCACAGGATGTGGTGTCTCCCAGATCCCCCCAAACTCCTAACCACAGCTTACCTTGGTACAAGGTGGTTGAACTTGTAAGAACTGAAGACGTCTTGGATCTTTTCTTCTACTTTTGCCTGGTAAGAATGCAGGAGATGGGAGAGAGAAAACAAATACAGATGAGTCCTCTGTCAACTTTTTCTTTCTGTTGTCACAAATGCCCACTGGCTACAGTTGCTTGGTGTGGTTTTGTACTTCATGGGACTGTAAGACTCAATCCAGGGGCTCTGCAGGATGGCAGGCTCAGGACAGACGAAAGAGAGAGAAGGTCCTGTACCATGCTGGCATTATAATCTACTCCTCCAGTAAACTATCCATATCCAAACTAATGGCAGTCCTGGAGTTTGGCTCACTGAAACCAGTTACTTAGGGGGCAGACAAGGCATTTTGCTTGAGAGATTTATTCTTGCTTGCTCTATGAAGTTGTTTAGGTGTTCACTTAGCTGGCCATTCAAAAATACAGAATTAATTCCTGCTAAGGGTCAGACTTCTTATTGTCAGACTGAATCGTTTAAATACAGATTGAACAGTATTAAAATTCCCTAAGGGATTTACAAGAACATCAATCATTGAAACACCTATGAAATAGCACATCTGGTCATTGGTCCTATGTCACACATAGGACTCCATCGTCCCGTAATACAAAGGATCTCAGAAAGCCAGGTCACAAAAAAATCCAGACCACCTGTTTCCTCTGAAGACCTACCACAATGTGGTCACACAGTTCAGCTTCTGTAAGGAAAGGATACAGCAAGGCAGAAGTGGATTGGTTAACAGGAGACAGGGTTTCTCCTTCACTGGCATCCCTGTTTTGTAGTGAGGTATGTCCTCACTGAGATTTCAAGATACATAATAATGTCCTCTTTGGGAATTTCAAAATGTATTCTTTATTTCTGAATCACCCACTGAGTTAGAGCGTCTAGGGCCCTTGACGTATGTGCAAGAATTATCTGTGATGATGAGGGGAGCAATGATGTGAATCATCCAAAATGGCAGCCAATCTAAAATTCACTTATACTTGGTTTCAGAATATACTCTGGTATTTGCCTCTGAACATGAGTTTGAGGGATAATCTGGCTAAGAATTCATAATACTTCAAAAAACAGACTGAAGTCACTGTCAGAATCTGACTCAGGAGGAATTAAGGAAGTTGTCCCGATTCTTCACAATTCTTTTCCTTTCCAGACTCTCACACAAGACTAACATAAAGCACCAGCCTAAATGGAAGACAGATTGAATTTCTCAGTTACACCTTCCTCAGCTGTAAGCTGAAAGGGACAGAAAAATATACAAGAAACATACGTCAGTAAGATCATGCAATAAAGATTTGCCTACAATATTCTGTTAGAGCTAAGTGAATTGATGAATTCTGAATGAAACAAAATCAAGTGGGAGGAAAACTCACTTCCTTTACCCAAATACAAGCTGATTCAAATCCACACGACTTAATAATATTCCAACGCTGATGGAGGAGCCCATCACCTCCTTAGCATTCTGACACTGAGACCCCTAGAGAGAAAAGGGTCCAGCCAAGAACTCCTTCATGAGGAGACCCACCTTCAGCTCCCCCTCGGACAACATAAGCAGCCAAGTACTAGATGAGGAAAATGGAGTTTTACTGCTAAACTAGGATACCTGACAGACAGAAGGCAGAAAGTGCTTAAAATATTCCCAACACTGTGTCATTTCTCTTCGGATTTCCTAATCACTCTTCTGCACAATGAACAAGCGATATTCCAATGCAGTTAGTAACGGACTCATGTCTGAAAATCTAAGTTATGAATTCTAATAAATACCTGAGTGTCATAGGTCAGCTATTCATAAAAATGGACAAATAACAATTCCCTTTATCTTCTCTTAAGAACTGGTATATTTTTCGAATAGATTCATTGAGATATCATTCACACACTAGTCAATTCATCCATTTAAAGTGTATGATTCAATGGCTTTTAGTACATTCAGAGAGTTGTGCATCCATTACCACAATCAATTTTAGAACATTTTCACTACCCCCAAAAGAAATCCTGCACCCCTTAGCAGTCAGCCCCAACCCTCCATCTTCCCCAGCCCCTGTCAACTACTCATCAACTTTCTATCTTCATAGATTTGCCTATTCTGGATATTTCATATAAATGTAATCACACAACATGCGGTCCTTTGTGACTATCTTCTTTCACTTAGCATAATCTTTTCAACTTCATACATGTTGTGGCATGAACCATTATTTCCTTCCTTTTTATTGCCAAGCAATATTCCATTTTATAGATATATCACATTTTTTAATCTATTTTTCATCTGTTGATGGGCATTTGGGTTGTCCCCATTTGGGGGCTATTATGAATAAAGTCGCTATGAACATTCTTGTATAAGTTTTTGGATGGACATATGTTTTCATTTCTACTTAAGTATAGGTATATACCTAGGAGAGGAACTGCTGGACCATATGGTAACTCTATGTTTAACTCTTTAAGGTATATCAGACTGTTTTCCAAAGCAGTCATAGCATTTTACATTCTCACCAGCAATGTATGAGCATTCTAACTTCTTCACATCCTCACCAACACATGTTACTCTCTGTGGTTTTGATTACATCCATCCTAGTGGGAGTGAAGCAATATTTCATTGTAGTTTTGACTGCAATTCCCTGATGGCTAATGATGTTGAGCATCTTTCTATGGGCTTATTGGCCATTTGTATATCTTCTTTAGAGAAATGTCTAGTCAGGTACTTCTTTTTAATTGGGTTGTCTTTTTATTATTGAATTGTAGTAACTTCTTATATATTCTGGATACAAGTCCCTTATCTAATACATGATTTACAAAAATTTATTCCCATTTATGGGGCACCTGGGTGGCTCAGTTGGTTGAGCTACCGACTCTTGGTTTCGACTCAGGTCATGATCTCGGGGTCATGGGATCGGGCCCACGGTCAGGCTCCCCACTCAGCGGGGAATCTGCTTGAGATTCTTTACCTCTGCCCCTCCCCCCACTCTCACTCTCTCTTTGAAAATGGATGCGTGAACCTTTAAAAAAAAATTTTACTCCCATTCTATGTGTTGTCTTTAGGAACTGGTATATTTTAGAAAAAGATCACCTTAGAGAATGGTTTCTAGAGTACAACTTTAAAAATAATACTTAGCAATAAGTCTGCAATTTTTTTGACAAATAGTAATGGATTAATATAGAAATTAAAAAGAACTCATCTGGCAAAGAGAAAATCCAAGTCATCTTCAAAACATGCAACATCCTTTTTTGCCTTCCCTTCTCCCCATATGGCCTGCCAAATGTTATATAAAATCTGAGTAAATTTGTTACTGAGAAGACACAAGCATTCTTTGCTCCGATTTGTATAGCAGAAGGAAAGGAAAAAAGCTAGTTGTATACAAAGGAGTCACCATACCAAGTGTGAGACTGCTGTCCTTAGAAAGGCCAGCTTGAACGGTTGACCCTTGGCTGGTGTCTAGAAACCTGAATTTGGGGAGGGTCCCCACCATTCCAAGAACTGATGCGTGGCTCACTGTGCTGAAACTGCATAAAGAACCTTGTTTACGCTAAATAGTTTTTTTTCTGGGAGTCTGGAATTTTGAGACATGCTAGGCAGCAGGTGCGTATGTGACCAACCCCAGTAAAAACCATGAGCACCAAGTCTCTAAGGAGCATCTCTGGTAGACAACACTTTGCATGTGTTATCACAGTTTGATGTCTGAGAAATTAAGTACGTCCTATGTGATTCCACTGGGAGAGGACTCTTGGAAGCTTGCGTCTGGTTTCCGCCAGACTATACTATGAGCCTTTCACTTGCTGATTTTGCTTTGTAGCCTCTTGCTGTAATAAATTATAACCATGAGTACAACTACAAGCTGAGTTCTCTGAATCCCTGTAATGAATCAACTAGAGGTGGTCTTGGGGACCTCTAATACATTAGTAGACTTAGAAATTTAACCTTTGGGATAGAATTAAGAGAAACAGTCATAACAACTGCTTAATATCTATAGGCAAGATCTATAGCTAAATTCCTTTTTAAAAATTTATCAAAACCCTCACTTTAAATATAAGAACTGATACTAAGTATTAAAAAAACAAAGTTACCTCAGTCAGGAAAACTCTGAACACTATATAGCTCTCAAATCAGAATTTTTAAAAAAAATCAGCTTCAATACTGCATAGGGATGGTAAACAATGCCCACTTTCCCTGAGCTCTCATTTTATCTTGGATTTCCATGCTTCCTTTCCATCCCAAAGGAATGGACTATTATATTCTAGTCAATCTCTCCTTTCAGCATGAGAACCCCAAGGCAAGGCAGTCATCAACCGGGTACAATACAAAGGCTGATTAACAGCCCCATAACAACAGATAATTTTCTTTTGTATAAATACCAAAGGGTCCATAGGTTCATTTCCCTTGGGTACAGGGCACACAGCTCGTGACCATGTTAACAAAAGTGATATGACTCTTTTGGGAGGAAGATGACAGCCTAAAGCATCTGATCTGTTTCAGAAACATTGCTATATGAAATGTTATAAGAAAGGCAACCAGGATTAGTCACCAGAAGATTTAGTCCCAAAGGACTAGCTCTTCAGAATTCTTAAACAGCCTGGAAAAAAAAGTAACTTTGACTAGTTCAACACACACACACACACACACACACACACACACACACACACACACACACAAAGAGACAGAAAGATTCTTGGGACAATTGGGGAAAACAAAAAATTTAAAATGGGATATTAGATGATATTATAGAATTATTTTTTTATTTTCTTAGGTGTGATGCTATTGTCCTTATGTAGAATAATGTTATTCTTTAGAGATGCATGCTTATTATCTTATTGTCAAAGATTCAGAAAAAAATATTAGTCATATACATATATACACATGTGCACACACACACACACACACACACACAGAAAAAATTATATCCTGGCTAGATGATCCATTGGCTTATCTCCTTTTTTGCCCTTAACTAGGCTGTTTCACACTCTGTAGATGTAGAAGTTAATTTGTAGAAAACTGATAGTTATGCAAATAATTTCTACCCATAGATATGAATATGATATCTGGTAAAATGCAATTA